AAGAAATTTAGAATAAGTATAATAATTTATACTTATTTTCTTAAGACGCTGATCAATGATAATTAGCATCTTGATATCTATATATCTGATCACCAGCTCAATTTGAAGAATTTTCCTCTAACTTCGAATCAGGAACTGACTGCGACACTATTGGTTATTATCATGCCCTACTGCAAAATCTCCCAATTGAACTAAGAAGAGATTTTCTTGAGAAAACGAACTTCATTTCGTAAAAAGTCTAACTATAAATAAAGTTAAAAATTCCTTTTGCTACACCTTTGATATTTCTAAAATCAAAATTTCAAAGTTTTTAGATAATCAATATATAATCAATATAATCAATAGCATTTATGATTTTCTAAAATTTTCAAGAGTTTTTAAAATTACGAATCAGATTAAAAAAAAATCATATTTATTGCTTCATAAATACTCAATTAAATTGGAAACGTTTCAAATTATATGAATAATTACTATGTATTAAAAATTCAAATTCTAATATTCTCCAAATCAATTTAGAAATCAAATTTTAATTCGAGATTATGTAATATTTAATAGATCAATGAGATAAATACTTGAAAAAGTTGCGAACAAATAGTGAAACTGATTTTACTCAACTTCAATTTTTTAATTGAATTCAATTAATTTCGTATTTTTGCATTTCGATTCAATGCTTAACAATCAATTTTCCTTTTTTTGGCATCGAATATAGATTTCTTATTCAATATTTCAAGACTATCTTTAAGAGTAATTTTCTTTGTACTCATTTCATGCAGCATATTTCTGATATCTTCGGTATCAGTTATTAATAGCGAATTAACGAAATTAAATTCGTGCCACATTTTGATAAAGAATGTAGTGCAACTATCATTATAAGTACCGAATTCACCACATTTCCAGTCCCATGGGATTGTGTAATGGTATTTTGGCCAAAATGATTTCTTAAAGAAGAAGATGCTGATGGTATTCGATGGAATCCTGAAATCATGATAAGATTATAAAATTGCAAAATTTTGATTAATGCATACTTTGAATAAATATAATATATAAAATCATATGAATATTTTAGGTATAAATTTTTTTTGCTCTATCGTGTTAAATTTTATCGTAATATTAACAATTTTCGTTACAACTATTACGTATTTATTTGTTTTATAATATAATATAAATGATGAATTTATTATTAACGATGCTGCAAAATTAATTTTTGTCAAATTTAAATAATTTAATAATTTAATAAATAAAATATTTAATTTCAATGTACTTTGTTGTACAATATGTGATCAACATAATCATTAAAAATTTTCATAAATAATATCAACACGTCATAAATGCTATAAATAATATCAGTAATTTAATTAGAATTTGTATTTTACTTTTTATCAAAATAATAATAAAAAATTTATATATTTATATATTTGTATATTTGTGCTATATTCAACAAATTATTCAATCTTATTCAATAAGTATAATGAAATGATTCTTCACAAGATATTCAAGCATGTTATACTTCTAATGACTATAATGATGATTTATTTAAAATGCATGACATCATTGTCAATAAAAGTGACATGGCTTCTTCGTATTTTAAGATACAGTTTGTAGAGAGAAGAAATTATTACTAATTGTCTTTGAAATGTGTATTACCTTTTCTCCTTCCTTAATGTTCCAGACCAAATATGCATTATTCACCAACCAATATATTTATCGTAATAGCAAATCGTAGGAATCCTGTTATTAATATAGTCTCAATCATTGATTCGTCCCAATATTCCAATGGCGCGTTCAGAGACAAAATAAGTCCAAATATTAAAAATAATGGCCAGTAGAAGCTGCGAATATAAAATAACGAAACA